TTGAAAATGTGGAAATACAATCCACTCGAAACGGTTAAAAAGAAAGATTCCTCGTTGCTTGTGGATCTTGAATGTGGATCAATCGGTCAATTCGAAAAAATTTCAACAATCGTAGAAGAGCCTGAAGTGAATGACAGCTTGATCACAAAGGAACCAAACGAAGATGTAGAAATCAATGAAGATAAAAGCAACATAAATTCGTTCGAATTCATTGATGTTAGAGAAATTGATTTTGTGATTCAGTTCGGTGAAGAAGTTGAAGTCTACATTGTTAAGTTTGAATCGGATGGCCTAAAAAGATCCTATTACATTGAAAAGGACAACGACGAGATCTGGAGAAACAACAAAGAGTGGAGCACAGTCAAAAGAAGAAAAATGGACCGGGCATCAAAAGCCTTCTTTAAAGTTCCATGATGTAATTGCCAAAGTCAAGCTAATGACTATAAAGAAGCGCTTCTTGGGAGGCAACCCAAGCGTTTTATTTTATTTTTATTTTTATTTCGTTTTCTGTTTTTGATTAATATGATAGTTTCAGTTATTTTATAATTTCTATTTAGGAATTCATCAGCCATATCCCATCTTCCCTTAGGTTTATAAGTAGTCAAGTTGGTTATTTAATGTTTGAGCTAAGTAACACTTGTTCCATGTATTTAATATCTAAATTTGATTTTTCAAGAACATGACGCCGCAGAATAATCATACCAACTTTGACGAGGAGAACATGAAAAATCTCAAGTTTGGGGGTAAAAGTTAGAAGAAGCGTCCATCAAATTCAACGTCAGAGCACAAATCATCATTGACAATTCAGACAAGTTAGGAAAGTCCTCCTCATTTTCTTTTAATTTAATATTGGAGACAATGTTTAGTTTAAGTTTGGGGGGAGTATATTATAAATTGTCTAGAATTGCCTTTTTTTTTTTTAATTGTGTGAATTGTGTGCATTTAAAAAAATTATTTTATTTTATTTGTGTGTTTTGTTTTTAATTTCTTAATTGTATGCATTGATTAAAAAAAAATTTCTTTTCGTGTTTTTGCATACTTATGTATGTTAGATAACCTTACCGGAATTGATATGTGTAATTGAGAGTATGCGTTGATTTATGAATTGTGGACGAGTTATGTGTTTGAGTTAGATTTTTGCTTATTCATGCGAAACGAAAATTATTTTTGCACGTGAGTTGATTGTAGCATTGTACATGAGTAGGTTGATTCATATTTATAGGTTTGATTAGAGAACTTAGATGCTAAACCCAAACAACCTTTAAACATTATTATACCTTGAACCAAATATAGGATGTTTGGTAGATTAAGCTATTGTAAGGAAACTTGGAGATAAATGTGGATTTTGTGTGTGCTAGTTTTTGTGTGGACTGTCTGAAACTAATAGGATGAAAATTGGGTGAAAACCTTAAGTTAGAGGTCGATTTTCGAGGATAAGTGTTTAATAAAGGGCATTGCACTAATCACCGCAAAAAAAAGATCCCAATGAGGACAACTCTAATAATCTCATTGTGATTCGTCTCTTCGTAACATTTATGACTCGAGTGATTAAGCCTGTAAGGGTTTAAAACCTGGTGCCCTAAAGTCATCTGATTTGGGAGTCGTCGGCCTAAAACTCGCTACAGTGGTCATTTAGAAAGTTTTAGGGAGAGATGTCCGCACAAAGAGTGATTAAAGAATAAAGATATATATGAAGAAAATAAAAATAAAAAGAGAAAAAAATAGATATCAAATGCCTTGATTAAGCCCCGAACACTTGTTTTAGAGGATTAGACCTTTGATAAGGGGTTAGTAACTTGGTTGATTCCTAAAGGTTGAAGCAGTGAAAAATAAGGAGGACCCTCATTTGTTGACATGTGGAATTACAATCAATAAAATCTAATTAAACTTGAGTGGTGTAAGAAATTAATATTGAAAATTTAACTTTAGGTTACACCCTTGGAAAGAGAAAAGAAAATAAGTTTGGGGGTGTGTGAATCCCACGAGCGAAGTAAGGAAAAATTTGACTTCTAAGGTTGGGAATTGGGTCAACTTATTATTGTACAACATTGCACTTGACTCTCTCTCCCCACACACACTCGTTTTGCATTGAATATATGAGAATTTAGCTTTTGCATTATAGCTTTGAAGTGATTCATGGAATCGAAGTTATGTCTTTAATCCTAAGACATGAAGGCAAGCTATCTAGCGAAATTTATTTTAAGTGATTTTGTTTGTCTTAGTTGTGCTTGTGTGTCTATTAATTATTTTTATTGGTTTTGGTGTTTGCTCGAGGACAAGCAAAAGATTAAGTTTGGGGTGTTTGATGAGTGATTCACCCTCATTATATTATGCCATTAATTTCATGATTTTGCTATCTTGGAGAGTATTTTAGAAGTGCTAACAAGTGATTTTGGTGTTGTT